TCAGTAAAAGTGGAACCGAGAGTGGTACGAGAGACAGAACGAGAGCAAGACAGACAGACATTACGAGAGCGAGACAGTTTGTCCCCGTACCACTGGTTGAAAACCACTGCTGTAGATCACTGTTGTTAAACGTGCGCTGGGAGCGCACCGTTTAAGTTTGAAAGTTGAAAAGTTTGTGTGTCTGAAACGCTATGTGATACAGTACAGTTTACACAGCACAGTACATGTTCTGTAGTAGTTACTATTGCACTAAATACTAACACTTGAATACGTTATGCAAATATGCAACTTGTTAGTTGAAATGTTAATAAATGGGAGCTTCCTCAAACAGCCATCTCTTTCCCGACAATCCCATCTCTGCACGAACCCTTACATATGGTAATTAAACATTAAAACACCTGCGGCTTATAGTCCAGTGCGGCTTATATATGTACACATCATTCAATTTAGCTGCTGCGGCTTATATTCAGGTGCGCCTTATAGTCCGAAAATTACGGTAATCATCTCATCAGACACTGAAGAACATTAGAATGTGTCGACTATTTATAAAACTATGACTTCTTTTTGTGTCAAAAGGTTGCTACGGCAGGAATTCCTGACCTTCTAGCAGAGTTGGAGCAGAATGTTGGTGGAGATCAGCAGTTATGCATGTCATCTAAAATCATTGAGCGTCTTCTCTGCTGCCTCTGATCTACACACTGAAACACAAGTGTTACATGGGGAAGGTGAAAGAGGCTGTTCTTCCCCGGCTGTATGTGCACACTATTCCATCATGTCACATCTGTTAGGACACACACAAGGCAATGGGGCCATTAAAAAATGAACATGCAGCTAAAGAGTGAATAATATATAAGCTTAATCCTGAATGTGTCCCGTGACAGAGCCCTGGTGTGGTCGGGGATTTATGACACCGGTGCCATTGTGCATACATGCTGATGAATATTGTAAATCCTGTGGTGGATCGCTCCCTTCACACATCTGGTGGCCTGCCTTGATCAATTAACCCGCCGAGGAATGGACAGGCCTTGCTCTTCTTTTTTCCTCCACCCCCTCTCCGCCTCTTCCTCTCCACTGATGTACGGAGGAAGCAGTCACTCGACGACCGTCTCCGAGAAGCGGCAGAGACTTTATGGCTTCCAGGTTCCACAGGGAATGTCCTGCTGGGGTGTCTGTGTGTATGTGTGTGTGTGTGTGTGTTTCTTACCCTCTGTCATGCAGAAGACTCTTAGGAAGGCAAGGAGCTGGGCTGATATCGGGGGTTCATTACAGTGCACTGCAAAGACACAAGATCTGTAAACAACAAACAAAACAAAATATTAATGATAGATCAATAAATGCATAAAATAAGAAATGGAGATTACTTACACATGGAACACGGCTGATTCTGTTATAATACTACTAAGACTACTTTTATCATATGTATACATGTCTCTGCTTCAGTAGTATACATCTTTATCAGGAATATTTGATATTGTGCATTACTTGTGATATATGCCTTTTCTACTGTAGATTTGTTTATATTTGCTGTTTATTTTCTATTTTATTATGTCTATACTTTAATCCACCTTTAAAATATATTAATACCTGAACACACTGCAGCAACAAGAATTTCCGAATTTGGGATCAATAAAAGTACTATCTATCTATCTACTCACATATATTAAAGAAACATTCTGGGATGGCGTTCCATGCATGCACATTTCCAGAATTGGAGTCAGGACCTGACATAATCACATTAAACTGCAGTCTTTCTTTTGTCTCTAAACATATATTAATGTTACTCTGGAAGTATTCCTCAGGATTCTGAAAGTCAGCAGAGAGGTAGTGTATGATCTAGGACTCAGCTAAATCCATTCACCATCATAACATTACTCTGAGGTTATTTGGAAGGGGACAATATTTCCCCTTATTCCAGCAAAGTGATTGATGTGGTGATCGGTAGCACATTATTATACTCACAAACACATTAGAGCTGCCTCCCCAACTTATTCAATTATTGCTCTGGCCACCGCTCCAGCAAACAGCACCAGCTCAGGGAAGAAAACTCTTTGTAGGAAATGCTGTGGTCTATTATACTGTGTGTTTTTGAAGACTTAGGAAAAAGGGCTTATTACAAATGTGCTAATTTAAAGTAAATTGTACTCACTTATTGCCACTTATCAGGCAGGAATGAAGTAGAGCACAGCAGTGATTTCAGAGTGCGAGCAGTGTGCTGATAGCAGCCGCTCAGCATCTCTCAGGCCCAACACTCAATCTGCTGCTGCTTCCTTTGAAAATGATCTACGAGCATATCTGTCAGTTTAATGGAACGCCGTGGCAACAACAGGGATCGTTTCATTTCATTTTCACTGTTAAGATTTAGACTGTCATCAATAAGAGATTAAAAGGAGTCTGATAAAAAATGTCGGGCAGAGAATGCAGCATATTAAGGGGCTAATGATAAAATTATTAAGCTTCTTGGTGATGAAAGTGTTGGGGCGGATGGTTAATTGATACTTGGCTGGATGAGGGGGGGGGGAGAATTCTCCTGCAACATTTATATCATGTGTTTCTGGATGAAAATATCTACAGTTGGAAGACAAAGAGCACCCAGCTGAGAGGTGCATGGAGTCTGACATGATCCTGAAGCTCTGCTGGAACCACATCGGGAGCTTCAGGAAGTACTCTGTGAAAGAGTAGAAAGAAAAGAGGAAAGGGACTTACGCAGGAATGCCGGCTCGGGCCAGCACCTCGGCCTTCATGGCGTACAGTCGCTCGCTCTTACTGACGCCCAGCTTGATCTTCACTCGGTCGTGGGCGTTGTCTTGAAAGAAGAAGCCATTGTGGATGACAAACTCGGCATTTGATCTCGTGCCATAGAAGATGTAGATCTATAGAAACAGTGAATCATAGGCATCAACACCTTCATCATCTTGTGCTGTGCAATAGCTGCCCACTGCTCCTAGTACTAGACTCCTGGTACTAGACTCCTAGTACTAGGATGGGTTAAAGCAGAGAACACATTTCACTGTGTGAGCTGTGTGCATGTGTGACCATTAAGCCCCTGTCACACTGTCCCGAAATTGACACCCGATGGACACACGAATATGGAATTGTGAATTTCACACGAAGATGACCCCGAACCACACCAAGGCAACATTTACATTTCATTTAAGACATACAACTGCAACGAAAGTAACAAAAACGATTATGTTAAAGTACTATGATACTGTACTGATATTTTCAGACTTTGTTCTTTACTTTATCCGTCTTTATATGTAGAAGACATTAAGTTTTCTCCGTAATGTTGTTTCCATAGCAACAAAAAACCTCCTGTCAACTCGCCTGAAAATAATTTCCATTGATGGTGTCTGTCAGTTTCCACCACAGCCTCCCAGACTCTGTTCAGAGAGGGGTACTGTCTTCCTTTAACCTTAATCTCCCGTTTAAGAAGGGCCCACAAGTTCTCTATAGGGTTTAGGACAGGTGAG